TGGGATTTATTTACCTTCTATAGCTGTCACTGGAGCTGAGAGCCGGCTCCAGCTCTGAGGGCTGAAAGCAGGTTTCTGGGTCTGTTTGGCTTCTATAATTGAAACTCTGTTGCCATCACTGCAGCTCTAAGCTCTGAGGCCGAAGCCGGCTGAAAGCAGGTCTCTGGAGCTTGTTTAGCTTCTATAATTGCAACATAGTTGCTTAGAGTGCAGCTCAGAGGCCGGCAGCGGCAGGCAGGGAACGTTGGCTTCCTCCGTCACTGGAGCAAGAAAGCCTCTTGTTCGCTTCAGCTGCGTGGCTGCTGGCCGCCATCTTGGTTGACAGTTAATTTGCATATCCTGCTGATTAGCCAATGGGAAGGGTGTCGGGGTTTATGGTCAATTGCATGTTTCTCTTTTATTAGATAGGAGATATATGTATATTTCCGTAGGCTGTTCAGGATTTTGTAGGAACTGTAATTTTTATGTTGAAAGCAGTTTAAATAAATTGGACCATGAAAAATGGCCTGGGTCTATGTATTACATCATTCCCCTCCTTCAAAATAGGATCAGTGTATTTCATTTATTAACTGACTGTCTGATTTGCCCACTTTAACATGACCCCTCACAAATTCATAGGATGGGAAGGAACATGATACTTTCCAGCTTTTCCAATATTTTCACATATATAAAAAGGAAGTGAGACATTCAATGTAATTCAATAGGTTGAGGAGAGATATTCTTGTCATCTTAAATTAAAAAATGATTTATATGTGACCTCTCCACTTTGCACAAAATCGGGAAGTTTTTACTCTTGTGGATCTCATTTAACATATATTCCCAGGATTCAGGGCAGATACTCTAGTCGTTATATACTTTTAGAGAATGTCACCTATAATGGGCACTTGCTATTTCCTAAGTGAAATTCAGTCGGTTTCCAATTCTGAGAACTATCAGAGAACATTCTATTTTCCCCCATTATTAGGATCACTGAGCATATAACAGCCATTATCCATCCTGTGATGTGCCTCTGTGCAGTAACACTTCCCATGCCAGGGAAAAATAAAAAAAGATGACCATTTAAATTAGAACAATGAAAATGGTGACCAAGCTCAGCATTAACACAAGTACAATAACAATAGCTCCTGTTTTCTGGTGAATTAATGTGAGGTACATGACAAAATAATACATTTTAATAATGCATGGCATTCAGTGCTATAAAATTGAAATATGTATTTCACAAATTAAAGAAATAAAGGTTAGAAATCTTATTTAAAGTTATCTAATCCACCAAGCAGGAAATTAATACAAGTGTTAACACTAGTTTTCTTACAAGTAAGTATTTATCATGTGTACAAATTTCCAGTTTGGTTATTGGACATTTAAGCAGAACTTTAAAAAAAGAAAATCTATTTTAGATCCTTTGGTTCTTAATGTTGTTATAGGAACTCAAGAAAATAGCTTAAACATATGCAATGTAAAGGAGCAATGGTGGCTATTTTAATTCTAAAATTTAAAGTATTATATAGTATGAGGAAGTTCAGCTTATTGTTAATGGCGTGGCGTTTGGAACCCAATTCCCTGGGTTTAAGTCTCAGCCCTATAATTTACTAATTAAATGTGCAAGATACTTAACCTCTTTGAGCCTCAGTTTCGTCATCTTTTAACTAGCGATAATAATAGTATCTACATCCTAGGTTTTAATAAACATGAGGTTAATAGTCATTTAATATAGTATATTAAAA